ATGGTCTAACCCTCATTTTCTGTTTTAAATTATGCAATGCAGGAATAACTGGGTCCGGGGATATAAAAGGGAAAGGAAAAATGTGATTATCTTCCTAACCTGTTGTCTACTTTTGAAGATACATGTTATATTACATGTAATAGTACAGGATTTATTTTGGAAATTTTATATGTAGATTTTGTACATATAACAATCCTTGTACTAGTGGGACATTTTGATGTAATTCATGTTTCTATGTAATGAAATATGTGTTCTATGCAAATGTGGTGTTTGAGGGTGTTACACAATGGATCCTCTTTTATTTCATATTCTTATTGATATTTATTTGTCCATGTGTATAGAAAACCTTGATTATCTTAGTTATTATTGATCTATCATTGACCCTCGTGACTACTTCATTCATACGAATTCTCTTTTTGTATCAAAATAACACATATTTTTTGTTATTAAGATTTTTTTTCCTCAGTAAATTATTAGCATTTTTTGTACTCAATCTTGTACTAATGAAAAACATTTATTGCATTTTTTTTCGTACTTATTGAGGGTCAGTACAAGAAAAATGAGCTTTGACGATGCGCCTTTAGGGATGACATGTTTCTGCCACAAGTTATAACGACGACATGTTGTTATATACTATTTCTGATAATAAATAGACTTTTAACGATGACAAAAATTATTACCTTGTTTCTTATAATGGACCATGTTTTTACGTTCGTCCAAAACCTATAAAATATCATGAACAGTCGTGCAAAAGATACATAAACCTTAAATCACTACGTCACACTAACACACCTTTTAGAATAGTTCCTGTAAGATAGGAAAACTAACTTAATTTTTTATGCTAAATATTTAATTTCTTAGAATATTAAAAATAGAAATTCTAAAAATATATAATAAAAAGGCAAAATGGAAGACATTGGAACTTCTGATTGCATGGTTGGCACAACTGTTACCACAATTACACGATCCACACCCTTCGCATTTGATTTGGAAATCCCCCAAATTCAGTTCACAGAAATCCGCCATGGAAGCTCTCAGAGCTCCCTCCCCCGTTTCTCCACCTTCGCTTATCAAAAGGCAATTACCCAAACCAATTTGCAGTCTTCCATTTACTCATAAAAAACCCTATTCACCCTTCCCCTATTCAACACAATTTACAAAATCCAATTTCAAGAACGTTAATGTCACTTCTCCATTTATTTCAACCGAACCTACATCCCCCCTTGAAGAAGAATCCGAAACCCTTGATCAACATGAGAAATTTGACTGGTTTTCTCAGTGGTATGCACTCATGCCTGTGTGTGATCTGGATAAGAGAGTTCCCCATGGAAAGAAGGTAATGGGCCTTGATGTGGTGGTGTGGTGGGATAAGAACGAGAATGCATGGAAGGTGTTCGATGATAGTTGTCCACACAGATTGGCTCCACTTTCTGAAGGAAGGATTGATCAATGGGGTAGGCTGCAGTGCGTGTACCATGGTTGGTGCTTTGGTGGCTCCGGTGACTGCAAATTTATTCCTCAAGCGCCCCGTGATGGTCCTCCGGTAAACTGGATCGTTTGAGCTTTTCTTTCTTCCTGCATGATTATGTTATGATTTTTCTGATGTTAAAAAGTCTTGAAATGATAATGGTGAATCTATGATGGTAGTAGTGTTTAAATGAAGGTGTTTTTGGATCAAAAATATGTGCAGGTTCATACTTTCCAGAAAGCATGTGTAGCTGTTTATCCAAGCACTGTGCAAAATGGAATTGTTTGGTTTTGGCCGAACACCGATCCTCAATACAAAGATATCCTTTCAAAGAATAAACCTCCATACATCCCTGAACTTGATGATCCTTCATTTACCTTCCAAATGTTTAATAGAGATATACCATATGGGTATGCAAGTTTCCCCTATATATGTCTTTCAACTTCAGTTTAACAGATTAATTGACAATGAATTCACTATAAAATCACGAAGGTTTTAAGCATAATAAAACAACGAATTCATCCTTGGTCTGTTGATCTAGAGCATGACCCTTGTAGGTACGAAATCCTGATTGAAAATCTCATGGACCCTGCTCATGTTCCTTATGCACATTATGGAATAATGAGGACAGCACAGCCCAGATAAGTGCTTACTTAATCACATAATTCTTCATTCCTTTCTATTCTTGATAGGAACCTGCCTAACACAAGTTTCCTTCACTGAGAAGCTTGATCGCGAAGGGGGTAAACCTCTTGAGATAGAGGTAAACAAAATATACAGAAATGGTTTTACTTCAAACCAAGGTAACGGCCTATGGAACTTTGTTCCTCCATGTCTGTTCCATGGTAGTGTCACGATTGGGGGAGGTCCAGATAATGCATCCGCGACATCAGGTTTAACCACAAAGGTATACGTTCTACTTCAGAAGTATACCTGCAGATCTTTATCTTTTTGGTACTTCACGCTTGTAATTTGATTGATTCAGGGGAAAGTATCACAAAAGTCACCTCGAACGGCCCTTTTGATCTTTGTTTGTGTGCCAGTGAGTCCTGGAAATAGCAGATTGATCTTTGTTTCCCCTAGAAACTTTGGTGTTTGGATAGATCGAATTGTTTCCAGATGGATGTACCATATTGGGCAGAATTTGGTTATTGATTCAGATTTATATCTTCTTCATGTTGAGGTAATATTACCCCCCCCCCCCCCCCCCCCCCCCCCCGGTCCTGCTGTTTTGTTTTTTTTATCCAAACTGTTGTATTTGGTCAGTCCTTGAAAAGATTATGCAACTTGTAGGAAAAGAAAGTGTTGGAAGCTGGTCTGGATAATTGGCAAAAAGCATGTTTCGTGCCAACCAAATCAGATGCGAATGTGGTTGCTTTCAGAAAATGGCTAAAGAAATATGGAGGTGGGCGAGTCGAGTGGGGAAACAAATTTGATGGATCTCTTCCACCCACCCCTCCTAGAGAAGTTCTCATGGACAGGTTATCTGAATAAATTTCTGTTAGAATCCCACATCGACTAGACTTGAATCATTTATCCTCTATATATGTTGGAACCTCCTGTATCTCTTCAAGGGCTCTCTTGGAGAGTAAATATGGGATTCCACGTAACAAATTCAACCACAACGAGGTTATAACTTACAAAACTTCTTTCAATATCAAACTTCATCTGCTTGTTTTGATGAATTGTTTCAGGTACTGGAGCCATGTGGTGAACTGCAGCAGCTGCAATGCTGCATACAAAAGTCTTAATGCGATTGAGGTCTCTCTTCAGGTGTTTTCGCTTGCTTCAGTGGCCATCGTGGCTGCAACCAAACAAGGGATGATATCAACTGCTGCAAGAAACACACTGGTCGTTGCTGCAGTTTTGTGCTTCGTGGGATCAAAATGGTTGTCTCATTTTATCTACAAAAACTTCCGTTACCATGACTATAACCATGCGCTTCGCTGAGACTCGTTTTCATGAGCTTGTAGTTGTTTCTGTGGAGCCTGTTGGTTATATATAGCTATAGTGAAAGACACAAGACCTTGATATAAAGAGGTTTATACTTTACACATACATTGATTACTTATTTATACAACTTCAATGGTCTGAAGTTTTAGTTCTTCAAGTATGTGTTTGATCCATATTAACTCACTTCTTCTTGCACACGTGTTCTCGAGTTTTTTTAACTAAGGAAAGGGAGGGAACGGGAAAAGAAAAGAGAACGTAAAAATCTTCAAATTTGAAGAAATATCTAAAACTTATATTATTTTAATTGTTTCCACTAGTGTTGTCATAAGTTTGCGAGCGTATAAGTTTCTTGAAGTAGACCCATGTACCTTCGCTGAGATACAAATATATAGTGTTTAGATCTTGCAACTTCCATTTCAATAAAATATATCATTGGACGTAGATCTTTTGCTTCAAATTCTTGGAACTGGTAATTCTTAAGATTTCCCAAGTCTGTCGTGAAACGTCAGTATTATATCATTGACATAGACATTAGATGATAAAAGGTGCTTGGTACACAAGATGTTTTTGGAGTGAATGAACGTGTGACCATGTATTTGATTGGTAGGAAATGAAATGAAATATATTTGTTTGTTTGTAGAATATAATTTTGAAATTGTAGCGAAATAATAATAATTACCAAAATACCTTTTTACGACATTTTTGTACTTTCTTACTTAAATTATAAATCATATATCAGAATAAAATTATTAATAATATCAATCAGTAGTGGCAGTAACTTGGTCAACAACAAAGGTGGCGGCAAGTGGTGATGGCAATAGCCGTCAGTTAGCATGTTATATTTTGGTTTTTGAACTTGATGTCGAATTTTATTTACCTTTAGGGTCAGCTTTTATATAGTTCAACCTGTGAACCCACCTCAATGAAAACTTATTTAATTTCTTTTAAAAATGATTGTTTAATTTCAGAATTTGCTAATTAAAAACACAAGCAATTCTTTGATATTTTTTTCACTTTGGTATTTTAAACATTTTTTGTTGTTTTAATTTGTAAGATGAAATTTTATATTTTATTTTATATTGTTTGTTATACATTCAGATGATATATTCTTTTCTCTTTTCTCTCTTATTTTTCGTATCCACTCTCTCCACAACATACATATGTTGGAAATTTTAATTATAAATTGAATCGAAATTAACCATAAGGTCCTAGATCTTCCACATCTTTCACCTGACTTGGGATCATGTGAGACCAAGGGTTTTATGTGAGACCCGCAAGACCAATTCTAACCCTTGGATTAGATCTACGATCTGAACATTTATAATCACAAAATTGCCACGAGACTTCTCAATAATCACAAAATTGTCACCGTGCAACTTTAGGCCATTAGCTTATAAAGTTGATCAATGAACATAAATTGGTCTTACGGGTCTCACGAAAAACTCTTGGTCTCACGTGAACCCAACCCTCTTTCACCTTCCTTAAGTTATAAATATGTCATATATATATATATATATATATATATATATATATATATTGTTGGAAATTTTAGTAGAAAAAGTGTGATTTTTACTAACTTTGGACGCATTTAACTACATGTATATGGTTTAATTTTAATTGACTCTTAGTGGGTTTACGTTCTCCATTATGAGAGCTTCGAAACCATATATAATGTGTCCAAAACCGAGTATGTGTGAATGAGATATCGAGGCTCAAAATTGGGTACTTGGGATGAATTTAGCAAAAAACCAAATGGGTGTGGGAGGTGTCCCACATAGGTGGGATGATAGAAGTTTTCATGGTTTATAACCATGGACTTCACAAAGGCTTTCAAGCAATTATGAAATGTTATGCTCCAACACCTATGCGTGCACAGGAGGGGTGCAGATTGTGGATTTCGTAGGCTAAATCCTCCGTGGACACGAATGCAACTTCGAAATCACGAGCTCGTGCAAAGCCGGTTTTTGCTGAAATTTATCTGGTCTGTTTATTTTTTTTTCAAACTTGATTTCAGTTTTAGTAACTGAATCGTTTTAAATGGCGCATTAATTTTTCGGTTTAAGTAACTGATGCGTTTTCATGGCGTTTTTAATAATTGCCATTAAAATGCTGTTACATTTTTCCTGTATATATATGCTGCCATATTCTCGGTTTGAAGATACAGCTCAATCGAACCTCGCATACACGCTACTCTTCCGTTTTTCAGACATCTTTCCAGCGACTTTTCCAGGCAAGCCGGCCAACTCCGGCAGTACTACTGCTCCGGCTGTTGTACCCTGGGAACAGACCCGAATCTGTTTAAGGGAATCGTGTCAAACACGAGCCTCAGCTTTTTCTTTCAGTCTTCTTCTCCTTCTAAGAACCAGTTTCTGCTTTACTTTAGATAATCGTTTACTAACATATATATATATATATATATATATATATATATAAATTGGTCTTACGGGTCTCACGAAAAACTCTTGGTCTCACGTGAACCCAACTCTCTTTCGCCTTCCTTAGGTTATAAATATGTCATATATATATATATATATATATATATATATATCGGACTCTAACGTTGGGTTATAGGGTAAGAAAACCGAGACATCATAAGAAGAAAAGAGTCTCTCAAGTTCAAATATAAGGGTAAAGTCTGACAAAACCGAATTTTGTTATAAAGTTATTGTATCCTTGGAAATCGAAGCACCATTAGGGACGAATCAATTTGAAGAAAATCATCTTCAACATGGGTCTCGACTCAAAATTGTGTTTCTTTCAAAGGTCACAGTCAACGACCGATTGGTTTGAGTTAAACTTTCTAACAACACATACACATACATAATTGAATGTGTATACAAGGTGAATACATTTTGAACACTTTTTTAGAAATACTATTATAGTTTGTGAACACATTCTAAATCTACGAGATGTAGCATAGCTTGTGAACATATTGTGAAAACCAACTAAATCAATAAACATAAATCTAAATCTACCACTTGTGAAGACCATGTGAATGCTCTAATAAAAAATTCTTAAACTTGTTTACATTGTGTTCACTAGGTATATTACGGAGAGAGGAGAGGATAGAGAAGGAAATATGTATAAAATTTTCTAAGAAAATGCATTCATTAACTTTTATTTAATAAATAAAGATAATTATCTTTTTAATCATCACATTAATTATCTCAAATAAGTGGCTTGGGATGAATCTTTCGGGTCTCATAAATTTTAGAGTTCTCAAATGATTAAACTTACTTATATGTCAATAATATGTCACCTTCTTATTGACATTTGTCCCTCCCACAACCATGCCACAACATACACACACCCTCCGCTACCCCATCGCCCCTACTAGTTTACTCATCGTTTCTGAGGTTTTATAGGCCCTGAGCGAGATGTAAAATAGAGCCCTCGATATATACAGAAAAATCTTCAATATATGGTTTTCATCATCAAATACAAGATTGAATTCAAGAAATACTAATAATTCATATAAAATCGGTTTTACAAGTATTGCTATATGCAAAATCAATCAATAAATTCTAAATTAATATTATCTATCACATCAATTTTACATATTATCGTCAATCCATTCTACCATAAAGAACATCATATGGTATACCTTTATCATATAGACATAATTTAGGGTCATAATGATGACTATTCAGAGTAACACTCTATGTAAATCAATATAAATTAGTTGGGGTTTCATCTCACCTCATGTTAATGTTTTTCGTCATTGTTTTAAACTTTTAAGGTTAAACCAAAGTTTTGCGGAACCATCAATCTTAGGATCAAAAGACCATGTTGGCTATATCTTGAGATCTTATTCTTGTTTTACAGATAGGAGAGTACTTAAAATTCATACATCCAATATATGGTAATAAGGAGTCAATAATATATGAATAAACAAAGGTGGTTTCGAAATTCTAAATATAAATATAAGTTGGACCATCTCATATTGTTGGCAATATTTTTCAAAATGTATAAGTTTTCTTAGTTAATAACAAGAAATCTACTATATTCTAATACAAAAATAGAATTTATGTGGATGGAATAATCAAAAGTCGATGAGAGATGAGTGGTAACACAAGGAGAACGAATGAGGATTCAGACAATACGAGATTCAAACAAAGGGAATAGAGGATTAATAACACAATCTTAAAACAAGTTGAAAGAATGAGGATAAAGAATATCGCCGAAAGCGAAAACCATGGCCAAGTAGACAAATAGCTTTATTGGGACGAATCTAACTAAGAGGAACAAATCAGTCCCCAAACAGCTCCAAGTATCAATGATTAGACGCAAGGTATGCCCCTTTCCTCTAGCCTTAACTCTCCTATCGCTTACCCGTAACTATTACTACAATCCTCAAAGAGATTTTTTTTGAAGTATATAATATTTATATACGGCAAATGAAACAAATAAACTCACACACCCTCCTCACATTTGGTGAGGTTTGAACCCTTGACCTTCTAGGAGGCCAAGGACTCCGATACCGCTAGGCCGAAGGCCCTTTGGTATCCCCAAAGAGATTTTCCTGCTAAAGAGAAGTTGGAAACCACGTTGATATTGTCTTTGATTTTGTTCTCTTGGCCTCTCAAACAACAAACGTCAATCCAACAATTTATACAATTTATACAATCTCAATCATCACAATGTCTGTCATAGTTTTAATTTTAAGAAATTCAGGGAATGCACAACGAAACATTATAGTATAAGTTTAGTTTTAAGAAATATAGGAACGTACAATGAAGCATTACAGTAACACCCTTTAGAAATGTAAAAAAAATCACTACGATGAGACCAACGAGTGGTGGTACAGGTCATCGTATGCCCCACTACAGGTCCGCCTTTGTAATAGTATAGTTGTTAAACTAATTATGCTTGATAAAAGAATCTAATTGATAAGCAAAATTACAAATTTACAATGTTTATGACTCAAGGCCTGTTTGTTAGTAATTTAATGAGACTCACAACTTATTCAATCAGCTATAGCTTATACATGATTGTTTGGTAGTAGCTTAATGATATAAGAAATAACTTATTTAGTAAGCTTCCAGGGGGCTTTATGCAGAAAGTCAAGTTTTTTTTCTTCCAAACTTGTCCCTCCCAATTGAAAAAATACATTCCTTCATCTATAAAAAAAATTCTCTCAAACAAAAACCTTCCTAA